CCCCCCCGCCCCCGCAACCCCCCCCCTGCCTCTCGAGGCCGGCCTCCGCCACTGCCTCCACATCGGCGTTGAAGCTCTCAAAGCCAACACCCCCGCTTTGGACGTCGTAGAGCTTATGGTAACAAATTATCAACTGTTCTCAATTTCAATTTCTGGATTAAGAAAACCTTTCTTCTCTATTTTTACCGGATCATTTTCATTTAACTTAATTTAATTTTTTGGCAATGAAATATTATGAATGAGGAATGAGTGAGTCTGATCATTTTATTAGTAAATGCATAGGTTCGTGAGTTAGAGAACATTCCATATTTTAATGCTGGTAAAGGGTCTGTCTTGACCACCCTAGGCACAGTTGAAATGGAAGCTTGCATCATGGATGGAACCAAGAGATGTGGAGCTGTTTCTTGGCTCACCACTGTTGTCAATCCCATATCTTTAGCAAGACTGATCATGGAGAAAACTCCTCACATTTATCTTGCATTTGATGGAGCAGAGGCCTTTGCAAGGGAACAAGTTAGTGCCTCACAACCAATTTTACCATGGCCTTAAAATGGTTTTTCCTGTAATGGGTTTCTTGATCTTCAATTTTCTTGTATGACTTCCTAATTTTGCAGGGTGTTGAGACTGTAGATTCAAGTCATTTCATTACCCCAGAGAATGTTGAGAGGCTCCAGCAGGCAAAAGAAGCCAACAGAGTGCAGGTACACTCTTGTCTAAATCTTGGCTTGTGAGTTGGGAAGTTGAATTCCCTCACACTCACACATTAGAGTTGCATAACCAGTGGCTACTCTTTGTTTGTGCTGACTGATCACTTTTGCCCCAAATGTACAGATTGATTATACACAACCCCTTCACAAAGATGAGAAGAAAGAAACACCAGAAGCTGATGGGGATAGTAAACTTGGGACGGTTGGATGCGTGGCTGTCGATAGTCTCGGGAATTTAGCATCTGCAACTTCTACTGGCGGATTAGTCAACAAGATGGTTGGTCGGATTGGGGACACACCCATCATTGGTGCAGGGACATATGCCAACAGTCTCTGTGCAGTTTCTGCCACGGGCAAAGGTGAAGCGATAATCCGGTACGGTTGCAAGGGATGTAGCAGCTGTTATGGAGTTCAAAAAATGTGCCTCTCTCAAAGAAGCTGCAGCTTATGTTGTGGAGGAGGGCACTCCAAAAGGCAATGTAGGTTTGGTTGCTGTATCTGCCACAGGGGAAGTGACAATGCCTTTCAATACCACAGGCATGTTTCGAGCTTGCGCTACTGAGGATGGGTATTCAGAGATTGGAATATGGCCTTCTGTGCAAAATTGAGTTGTTGCATTGCTTGAACCCCTATCTAAATATCTTTGTGGTATTAATATTTTCAACAAAGTTGACTGAAATTGCAGCATTTTCTACTGCTATTCTGCATATAAAGACTGGATGGTCATGACTTGGTCAAATGCATGAATTAAGGGAACACCAAACCATTGCATCCACAGATTAAAGAGGAAAAATCCATTGCATGCCAAGTAATGCACCTCAAACCTACATTACAATCATTTGTACCTCTCAACTAACAGAGAAGAAGTTTCTAGAATCGAACACTCACACCATGATACTCTACAGATCAAACTGCATCAACCCAATCAACGGTAACACAATTCTAACCACAAAATACAACATGCTGGAACGCAAAAATGGTCAAAAAATTTCGAATTTATTTCTATAATCATTGCAGCATTCACTTTTCTCATATGAGAAGCAATGAGAAAATCGTGCGTCCAGTAAAATCCAAATTCTAACGTTTTCCCCTCCTTACCCACAATTCCTCGGCAACCAAACAGCCAATAAGTAAAACAAAAGCAGTATCATAGTAAAGGACACGCGAGAAAAATAGTCTCATCTATAATGTACGAAAAGAAAAGGTAACTTATTTGTTATTCCGAACTAACTAAATTTGTATTTTAATAGTATTAACTAATTTAATTAGTTAGTTTCTGGAGGCGGTTTCTTCACGTGACGTATGTAGATTTTTGAGCTTTCCCGGGCTGGAGAGGGTATAAAAGTAATTGCGCTGGCTATTTCAGCAAACTGTCAGAAGAAACCCATGGAATTTGCTCTGCTTTTTCCCGCCTTTCCAAATTTTTCATCCACTTTCTCGGGAAATGGAAAATGTCTGCGAAGCTTTTCTGATCTTCTGCCAACTCGGTAAGTGTTATTTCATTATTTTATCTTTCGTTATCTTTCTAGCATTTCTGATTTACGGTTTTGATGATCAGCCTCTTCATCATTTTTCGTCCTTTTTCAGATCCGCCCAATTTTCTTCCACTTTCCTGAGAAACGCTACTTTCTCAGGAAAATGTCTCCAACACAGTGAATTCCGGTAACATGTCCATTAAATAACTGGATATTTTGTCCGATTCAAAGCGTTTCTTGTTCTAATTCTTCATCGGTTTTTAGAGGCACTGCAATTTTCCCGAGAAACTCTACTTTCTCGGGAAAATGTCGGGATCGCATGCAAGCAAGTGGCTTCGGGATTGTAAAAACAGGTTAGCAAATAGTCATTAGCTATATTTTCTCTGCATGTTTTATAGAGTAGAGTCTGATATGGTTTCCATAATATTCAGAGACTTCAGGCATTCCAGAGTTCGGACTTGAGGAGATACTAGAATTTGCTGTTCCTGAACCCGGGCGCAGCTATCTCAACCGTCTTACTTCTCCAAACTCCATATACTCTCGGAAATCCAAGTATCAGACCACCAGAGATCTGAGGCTTTGTTCAGAAAAATTATACCAACTGTACGGAATACATATTTCGGCCACCGGAGATGACAAAACCTGGAACAGAGCGTACAAGCGTCTCGTTAAGGGCTTACCAGACATAATGCAGGTAGCGGACGTCGTGGTGGAGCACAAGAACGACATCTTCAACTTGCAGACGTTTCTTTCTCTCCCACTGAATCCAGCGGCAAGTCAGAAGATACTGCCAATTTTTGTGCAAATTGTCAACTGGGGAATAAAACAGGTGATCATTGAAAGGCGTGCAGGAGATGAGACTTCGTTGTATAAAGAAGCAAAGAGGACATTTGGACGCAAGATTAAGGTAGTGTTGAAGGATTCTGAGAAAATGGAAAAGTACCTTGCCTAAGTTTTAGATGTGAACTCTACGGCTATGGAACTGATAAGTGACATGAAATGGTTCATGTTCTGTACGAAGTTAGTTTTCTTCACAATAAAGTAGTAGTTCTAACACTTGAAAAATCTGTTGTCCCTCTGCTTCCTGGTATTTTTTTTACTTCCTTTCTCCCTTGGGCATAACTTTGTGCGAACATGCTTGGTAGAAGCTTCTTTTTTGGGATGTTAGTTTTTAGCAGTCTTGTCTTAGATATCTCAAAGTTTCATAGTGGCAATATAAAGAGAAGTTTTCCTTCCTTCAGAGTGGTTATTGGTGTGTCTAATGCTCTCTCTCTCTCTCTCTCTCTCTCTCTCTCTCTCTAATGAGCATTTATTGTTGTGGTTACATCTCTTTCAGGCTAACAGAAACGTCCTGATATATTGATCCTTAAATTTTTTTTTTTCTTTAAATGCTATTCCACTTTACAAGCAAACAAAATGCGCATCTTGATTATGAATATAATCTCTCTGCCTCAATCTTGCATTTCGTCACTTATTTAAATGCCAGATTTTACAAAATTTTATCATACTAGTAGGATTATAATCTCTTGATTCCTAGATGATCCAATATAATCATGGGAATCGTTCGACAATGTGGAACCATTTTATTGTCATTGCTCGCAGGGTAGTTTTGTTTGTCAGACTGCTACTAGGAATATAATTTTATTGAAACACACTTCGATAATCAAGCAGTCAAGCATCAAATTTTTCTCTTACACATATAGTCATTGTGGACTTCTAGTTGATCTGGATTTGCATGCAATTTAAAACTGGAAATGAGATTTCCAGGGATTTTTCCTTGGAAGACTTGCTTATATCTGTGAAGGAATGTGGCACTGCTGCAAGAGGAAATGAAGCAAAACAATCAAGGATAACCCCTGCAGCTTCAAATTATTTTGACCGAAAACACTCTGCCGCTTCAAGAACTCATCGATGCCATGTAGGTCTTCATCCTCAACTTTATTCAGTTCATTTTTGTGTTTTCGCTTATTTCTCATAATTTGCAAGTTCATGCTTCATACTCTACAGAAAGGATAAAAGACAATGGAGGTGATATCAATTCAATAGCATCTAATTAACCTGTTAAAAGTTGACAAGTTTTAGTGATGTAATCAATCTCAATGCCGTGCGATGTATGATGCCTCCTTGTCTCAACTTCCATAAGTAACTCTTTTGTATTACTGTCCCTGTGTTTTCATGGTTTCTGGGTGATATTGAATTGTGGATACTTCATACTTGTTCCCTTTTACTTTTTCTGTTTATTACTCAGTAAATTTACTGGCACATGACTGGTATTGCCTTCATCCAGTAAGGGGAGAGGAGATTCTATTTTGCCCAGTATCCATTGGCATTCATACTTGTAGAATAGAAGTTGCTTCATATGCAGAAAAAGAGCTGTAATTATTATATGATGTTCTTTAACCGCCTACTAATGGGATAGTGAATGTAAAATGTTTTGACTCATAAATAACCTTAATATTTCAAGTAACACCTCATATAGGATTTCTACCTGGAGAACAGAGTGATGTCAGATCCTTGATTAATTAACGTTAATTTTTTTTGTTATGCCTCGTTGGAACTATCACTATCTTGTAATCCTTAAAATGCTGTTTTGGATGCTTTAAGAAATGACACTTTTGTTGAACCATATTGTCTCATTAGGGTACAGATTCATTGCTACCAGTGGAGATGGTTGAGCATCTTAGAAAAGGCATTGGTGCGAAAGGGCAGGTTAAATACAGCTAATCACGAATGATGGACTTCTTTATCTGCTTATCTGCTTAAATACAGCTAATCACGAATCCAGATATGTTGCATGTATCAATCCTACCACACCAAAGATGATTTGCGCGGATTTTGGAAAATATTAGGTATTGTCTCTTGGGACTGTCATGTATAGTTTCTGAAACTAGGTGACTCATCAATAGTTGTGTGAGTGTGTGTGTTTGCATGCCATTTTTTATATTTGAATTCTTTTTGTGTCTTATCTTATGATATAAATTTGAACTGGTTGTTTGAGCAATATGTCGTTATTATTAGTATATTTATTACATTAATTATACGGAGATTTACTTCATATTTAATTCTTTAGGTTTGTAGTCATTGATGAGGCACATATTTATAAGGGAGCATTTGGTTGTCATACTGCTTTTATCTTAAGGAGACTTCGACGGCTCTGCTCACATAGTAAGATCTTTCCCTTAGAGTTTGCAAAGGATGAGATTGTTCACTATTGGATTCTTCCATTCAAATTGAAAATTCAATACCTGTCTGTTTCTATTTGCAGTGTATGGAAGTGATCCTTCTTTTGTGTTTTCAACTGCAACTTCGGCAAATCCTCACGACCATTGTATGGTAAGATTTGTTAATTATAATTACAGATTAATCCTCTGTTGTGTTTTAAAAATTTTGGCTTTCATGGTTTTTATTTTAAGACTTTCATCTGGTACTTCCCCCCATCTATCTTTATTTTTTTAACACCAAAAATATTTTCGGTGCTATGGTTTTTGTGGAATATAGAGGGCCATGCATTTTAGATTAGCCTGATTTAGTGAGTGAAAGAAAAGATCAAGGAGGAGGTGGTCTACTCACTGACTTTGCCCCTATTTAGAACTTTTTTTTTTGGTTGATTGCTATATCACTTTGTATCAGCACATGACGTGGGTGTTTGGTAAGGAAGCTCAACTTGCTCCAGTTTTGGGGTGTTGGGAAGACATTTAAATAACCTGGTTGACTTCTGTGACGCACACCCACATTTGTGTAACTTGGTGGCATTGCATTGTTATGTTGCTGATACAAGTGATCAATTTGTTAATTATCTTGGTTTCTTTTTCTGATGCTAATTATATATAAATTAAAAGGATGACTATTCTAATTCTTCAGGAACTTGCAAGTTTACCAACTTTAGAGCTGATTCAGAATGATGGAAGTCCTGCTGCTGGAAAGCTCTTCATCCTTTTGGAATCCTTTTGTGGATCAAGAAACTGTTGGTGTGCTGTAACTGTTATGGTGCCCAATAACTTTGTGATAAAATCATCTGTTAGTTTTCTAAATCTTGATGTTTCATCATTACAGGTGATGAAGAATCCCAATAATATTATGGAAAATGGTAAATCTTCTGATGAAAGTGCCAACTTCAAAAGCTCAAGGTAACAGCTTGTCACATGTATATAGCAGTGGAGAATGAGAATATTGTTTTAATAATTATGATTTTGGTTTAGAGGTCATATTAAATCCAGGTTAACGATAAAAATATCTTGACAAGTTTTTCTGATGTGGTTTTCTCATCTCTGGAGACCACAGTTTGAATTTCTCTTTTCTTTACCCATCTTCTTTTCCCAGGAAATTGCTTGAACATGTATGATGGCCCCTCAGCAGTTGGTGATTTACCACCAAGCTGTCTTCACAAGGGCTGTTTGACTAACTTGGTTTCTACCAATAACTACAAGGCTCTTATAGCTCCTGTTAGAAATACATGTAGTGTACTCCATACTGAACTAGTGTTAAGTTTCGTTTGACCATACCATGCTATACACACCTACTGCCTTATAGTTCTGGTGCTTGATTTCTGTTTCATTATTTTCCAGGAAAATAATTTGCAGTTTTCTTTTTGTTGTTTTGTAAGCTCAATAACCGAGGCTGAAATTATCTTTGCAGCCCGATTTTGGATGTTTCATGCCTCTTTGCTGAAATGGTACAGCATGGGCTACGCTGCGTTGCTTTCTGCAAAACACGCAAGCTTTGTGAACTTGTATTGTGCTATACGTAAGTATCATCGATTTTGTGGAGTTCAGTACTCCAATTCTACATGACATGATTTATGGCATTTTTTGCCTCAGGCTTTTGTCATTTATCTGGTGTTATGGAGAGTTAAATGATGAAATGAATAAATATTATTGTGCTAGGCGTGAAATTCTTGAGCGGACAGCTCCCCATCTGGTAGACTCTATACGTGCGTTATCGTGCTGGTTACATTGCTCAGGTTAGTGAGCTATTTGCCCGCATTTATTTCTGTCATTTGAAATGCAGTCTTTGTGGAAGAGAACCTTGGAGTGGTTACTTCTTTTTGGTTGAAATTTAGATTGTTGAACCATTAGGTTTTTTGTGCTCTCACTATTCACAATCATAGACTGCAATCAATAGGGGGAGTCAGCTATTATCTAGATTATTCCTCTGTTTACTTAAAAGTTCGAAATTATTATGCCTCATTGAAGCTGATAGACATTATTGTCTCTCTCTCTCACCCCATTTATAATAAAGATACAAAGTAAAAGAGAGTATGTGATGTATTTATGTGATAGTACTTTCTTTTGTTTCATAGTCTCTGCAACTTTGTTACTGACAATCAATGTATATATCCTGTTAATGTCTTGTTTAGTTTGAACAGCCTTCTGACAGCATTTGCTTGACTGGTGGAGCAGAATAGGAGAAGAATAGAGAGTGATTTTTTTGATGGAAAGCTTTGTGGTATTGCTGCAACAAATGCCCTTGAACTGGGTATTGATGTTGGACACATTGATGTAACTCTTCATTTAGGTTTTCCTGGTAGTATTTCTAGGTAGGCTTCCAGTTAATCCTGTTCCCACCAGTGCTTTAACTTATTGCTCAAATTGTTTTAATTGAGTATATTTGTTGTTTTATGTTATTTTTTTCCTCCTCTTCTATGCATGTCTGAAGCTTGTGGCAACAAGCTGGCAGAGCCGGGAGGAGAGATAGACCTTCTCTTGCTGTGTATGTTGCTTTTGAAGGGCCTTTTGATCAATATTTTATGAAATATCCAAAGAAACTTTTTGGAAGCCCAATTGAGTGCTGTCATGTTGACGCTAAGAACCAACAGGTTTTAAATTTTCTTATATTCCTTTCATTTATCCACGTCTAATTTGTGTCTAGCGGATTGGCAATATTGATTTTATGCTTCTTGATACCTTATTCCTTGTAGGTTCTTGCACAGCAGTTGGTTTGTGCTGCTCACGA